ATCTGCAAAATTAAGTTCAATTTACCAATGCTTTTACAAGTGCCTCTTAGTTAAATAGGCACAGTAACTTCATAGTTGATCTGTTAGCAGAAATAGTCATTTAGATTCTAAAGCAAAAAAAAAAAAAAAATGTTTGCTCTTTATTTTATGTGTTATGCCACTATTGAATTAAGTATGAACATACTAAGTCAAAAGATAAAATTTGTAGTCCAACTTCATCTTTGGCTTATGCTCCTTATCCAAACCAGCCTTCCAGAAATCCCATTTAGTAAACCTTTTTGTACTGATAAAATGATAAAAAAAAAAAAATCATAAAAATAAGTGGGTAGCACTGGTGCCTTGCAGCAAGAAGGTTCTGGGTTTTATTCCCAGCCCTGGGTCTTTCTGTATGGAGTTTGCATGTTCTCCTTGTGCATGCTTTGGTTCTCTCGGTGTACTTTGGCTTCTTCCCACAGTCCAAAAACACGGATGTTAATTGGCTTCTCTACATTCTTCTTAGGTGTGAGTGTGTGTGTGAATGGTTGTTTGTCTCTGTGTTGCCCTGAACTGGTGACCTGTCCAAGCTGTACCCCGTCTCTTGCCCTCAAGATCCCGCTTGGGATAAGCGTGACATAAAATGGATTGATGGATGAACCTGAAAGGCAAAATATATCAACTCTTCAAGAATTTCTGATTGTAGAAATACAATTCTTTACATTAAACCTGTTATTCCATTAGTTTGATAACATAAAATTGGTTTTAAAAAAATTTAAGTTTTTATTCCTTCACTCCAGACCAAATCTAAATGAAAATGGACATATTAAATGGACAGTCATGTTTGTCTTACACTGTGAGCTGGATGGTAAAAAAAAAAAAATACATTCCTCTATATATGGGGATGGGTATTGACATAAGGAGGGGAAACTTTTTATTTGAGCAAGTTGAGGTTTTAAGGCACGCTGATCTATCAGCCAGGAATCTTATTTTCTTTGCTGCTTTTGCAAAAATAAACCAGTTTGTTGTGCCACTGGTTCTAACACTTATCTGAAATTCCTGGAAAGAGTGGGAAACACATATACCTGAGGCGTAAGAAATAAAATATTTTAAACAGTGCAATATTGAAAATATCATAAATAATTGGTCTTGCTTCTTAGAGCTGACGAGACCCTATCCTGCTGGAACAGGTCTGTTATTAAACACTAAAGGCAGATTGCTGCAGCCATCAAACATTTCCCTCAGATAAACTAAAAACCTGTTTTTATTTATAATGTGAAAGTAAGAGGGGAAAAAATCAGTATGTATGCAATTAATTCTTACAGCATATGGTTTCTAAAATCTGGACTATTGGTTTCAGAGATGATAGACGGATGCATGACAAGGAGCAGATGCAGCTGTCAGCAATAAGGACCACAATGTCTGTTGATGTTAATACAGCATTACACATGCATTCAATCATTTTGGCAACACATTTATTTAAATACTAACTTGGTAGAGAAAACCCAAAAACATGTTGTTTTTTAGCTCTCTGGGCTACAAAAACCTTTTAACTTATCTACCTACCTTTACAGCTGCAGTTTAAGAGAACAAGTTCTGTAATTTTACACTGGTTGTCAGAGCAGAAACATGTAACTTTAACTTTCTGAACTCCACAGCTGCCTCGCAAATATCAGTTTGATAGCAGACATGAACTGCTCTACAGACCCTTAACATGCAGATTGAGCTGTCAAATGGGGAGCAGGATTATATGGTTTATTGCTTTAGACCTGACCTTTTTGGCTGCTGTGACCTGAGCAGATTAAATTATCTCTGAAAAGAACTAGAAATATGTGTTGAAGTGAGACCTCCCACCCTTACAAGCTGTTGATTTCTTCTGAATCCTCCTTTTTATGAAGAAGAAATAAAACATGTAACCAATTTACTAAACGAAAACAAATATTATCTGATGGGAATGTAAGAAGAAAATTATCAATTATTTTTTAGTAGGTACTAATTTTAATGATGCATAATTTTTATTTATTTATTTTTTTAACTGGGACATTTAGTTCTATATGCTTATTTAAACTTGATTTAAATAAGCATATAGGTTTGGTTACTATTTTGGCAGTTATGTTTCTTTGGCAACAAGTTTTTTAACCCAACTGGTGCAATGATGTGCTTCTTATTTCATAAACAATGACATCAGATGAAACGTAAATGGTTTTGGAAAAGATGTCAGTCTGTTTCAGAAGCATTAAATCATTGGCATTCATCAAGCAGAGGAAGCATATAAGGAGATTGCAGAAGCACCCAAAATTGGGTTCAAGAACGGTCCGACGTATAAAGACTGGAGTTGAGACCACCATAATTGGGACCATCTGTCTTTGAAGAAAGTGTTAAAGTCATCTGTGATCACTTTAAACACACCAGTGTTTGATGAAAGCAAATCAAAGGGAAAAAAAACTGTGGGATTGGTACTGAACAGCTATGTATCCTTAAAATACAGTCCAGATATACCCTATTCCAGTGACCATAAGTCTACTGAGAATCTTTGTGATTTGCTGGAGAAAGTTTTGTGCAGCAGTCAGACTTAACCATCATCGATGCAAAACTCTGCATTGAAAAATAAGTGCAACACGGTGTGAAACTAAATCTTCTGGCATTGCAGAAGCTTATCAAACAATGCCACAGTAATAGCGTACCATATTAAACCTTTTTTTCTAAAGGTGACTTTTTTTTTGGGGGGGGGGCATTTTTTCAATCTGTTAATTTATTTATTTTTGTGTCATTTTAATTTTCTCCGTACCTTTGGCTCTTTGTAATATGAATTAATCTAGCCCGTATGTACCACTGTCTGCTCTTTTGGTGGAGGGTATCTCGCCTATTTTTGAGAATATAAACTCTGAGCCTTGTATTCTTCAATGTGCTTTCTGGGGATTATTTGACCACTTTTGGAGACATTAAGTGTTCTTTACGCTCACAAAATGACATCCTTTCTAGATCCTGAAAACATTTCTCTATTATATACATTTGATGGAAATATAACCACCTTTTGATGACCAGAAAAGAGACCACTGTAGAAAATGTATGATAATAATAATTGAAATCTTTATTACAGTATTCAGTAACAATATTGTTTTCATAGATTTTTTTAATAAATCATTTTAAATATATCTCACCACTGATCTTAGATATTAAGTGACAACAATGCCATTTATATAGCACTTTACAATAAATAAGCTGCATCACAGTACCGCACAGCAATAACAAAAAATTAATAGGAACAGTTAAAAGAAACATTACTGATAAACCTAAAATAAATAATTTATATTATTCATATATATATATATATATATATATATATATATATATATATATATATATATATATATATATATATATATATGCAATGGACTTGCGACCTGTCCAGGGTGTACCCTGCCTCTCGCCCGTAGACAGCAGGAGATAGGCACCAGCACTCCTCGAGAATTTATTATTAAATTATATCTCTAGTATTATTCAGGTCAATCTCTATTTAATTTACAAGCCAATGAGCATCTACGAGATCTTGAGAATCTGAGCAGCTCTTATGAACTATAAGTTATGCCAGAGTTTCGGAAAACAACAGAAAATGCACAATCTCTTCGACTACTTGGACATTGGAAGATTTAATATTAGCTGGCTTTTTACCTTACTGCTCTTGTAGATTTATTGCATTTTTATGAGATCGTTTAAATTTGATGGGGGTTTAAAATCCAGTAACTGGAGTTATACTGTATGTCCCTGTGTTGTAGCCACTATTATCATCCAGCAGTTGTTTTATACAAGCTGCAACAGGGAAAGTGGACTGATTTCTTCTTTCTGATGTTATTTTGGTCGGACAAGAAATGAAATTATTGTGGTTACAAGCTGCAGGTCATTGAAATGCTATACAAATTCAAAGACCAGTAGTTTTGGTATAGGATAATGTGTGGGATGTTAGTTTTACTTTAATGACAGGATTTGGTTTGCTTTCATCACTGAGTTAAAAACAAATAGATTTAGTGTTAATGAATGCTTTGCTTATGCAATATGCTTTGCTTTACCATCAGGATGCTATGTTGTTTTTTGAGCAAACTACAGCACTTTGGAAAAAAATATTTGCCCCTGCTACAGAGCTGGCTGCTGAATGAGAGATGTTTTGAGAAATGAAGACAATGTACCAGACTGTAAAACATGAAAGCTGCGTCATGATGAATGCTAAAATACAAAACAGCAGCATCCATACAGTAGTATTGCTGATGGTAGGAGATAAACTGTAGCTGTTGGCACAGAGTTTCTCACATTGAAATCTTCAAAGCTGGTAAAACAATGACATCAAAATAAAAATCTGCATTAAATTAAATGACTAAGCTGAGCAAATATTTAGGAACTGGGACTATTTTTGAAATGGAGTTTTAAATGAAAGCATCCCAGTGTGATTATTTTTGACTAAGATCAACTAAGTGGAAGAACCTAAATGTTCTACCTGTAACTATAGCGCAATTTTGGCCTAGTGGTTAAAACAGTCCGCTTGTGCTCTGAGATTGTTGCAAGGTCCTGCTTCGATCCCCACAGCCTGCACTCTGGCACACTTAACCCCACACTGCTCTCTGGGCGCTACACAATGTCCGCCCACTGCTTCCCAAGGGAATGATTTAAATGCAAAGGTAAATTTCTCCAGCGTGAGATCAATAAAAATCAATTGTATTATAATAATGCACTTTTCCTCTACATTTGCAATCGGAACAAAATGTGAAAGCATCTACTGTAGAATTCATCTCACACTGACAACAGTGTTACTGTTAAGACTGCTGTTATCATGTATTGTGGTATTTATCATGATGCTGCTTTCATGTTTCACAGGCTTATACATTGTTTTCACTTCACTAAATATCTGGCATTCAGCCGCCAGCATCTAAGCAGTGGCAGCCATCAGCTTTCGGTCCACTTGTTCACTTACAGTAATAGTTGATTTAAGCTCAGCAGTTGTTCTCAGTCCCTGTTTTTCTTCCTCTGTTTGACAGGCAAGCCGCAGGGCTCCATCCCGTTGACTGCAGACCACATTGTGCCGGTAAGACTTTGATTCATGTTCCACTCTGCATTGTTGTTAGTTTGAGTTTGCCATGTTAAATGCCAGGTTATTGTTTGTAAGAAAAATAATAATAAGAAGAAGAAAACTCAGCAATGTAGCAAAAAACAATGCCTCATGTAGATAAGATTTTTGAAGGAAATGAAGGGAACAAGTAAAAAGTATTTGACAAACATCTTTTCAGGGGATAGTCAATGTTTCCGATTTGATTGTAGGCGTTGCAACAGGAAATGGTCTCCAGGGTACAAATCACAGATTGTTTAATGGTAAGTTGTTGCTGTGTTGTGGGCTCATATCCTGTCCAACGAAATGTGAGGTGGGTGACTTCAGGAAAATGCTCCTAACTCATTCACACATGTTTCCATTCAGCCAGTACAGTTCTAAGTAAAGCTTCCTGTTTAATCCAAAGTTATGCAGGCAGTTTTGATATGTAAAGCAAGCAAACTCACAGAGATAAAAGGAGGTGGAAACTGTTCTTGCTCTTTAGAATATGTTCTTTAAAGTGCCTTTAATGTCCCTTCTCTTTTTTCAAAGGAAAAAGGCAAGTTTATGACATGCTGTGTAATGTGCATGCATGCACAAAGATTAGAGGTTGATTTGTGTGGTGCTTTTGTAACCTAAGAAGAAAAAATAGCAAAATGTGTATCTTAAAGGTCAAAGTCTCATTGTACTAATTTTACTAAAGCTTTTAAATTAGTTGAAGATTAGGTTTTCACATATGTTAAAACCTAATAGCACGGCTAGTTACCCACATTTCTTTTTATTGCAGAAATTTGTAACACCGAAACCACAGTGGGTAAACTTATTAATGATCAAACATACAGTAGGTATAAAAAAAAAACGGTTGTCTGCCCTCAAAGTGTTTGAACCTATGGCCTTCTCTACCCTATTCCTCTAAGCCGATACAGTGATGCTGAACTGTGTGTGCGTTGAGTTTGAGTTGTATTGGAAGGATCCCCATTAGCTACAGCTATACTGCAGCTATTCTTCCTTTGGTTCTGAAAAATATTTACATTAAAAGCAAAACAAAGAATAAAACAAATAAATGAAAGGAAAAGAAAAGAAAATACATATACAAATACATATACAATATATACATATTTCAACATACATGTGTGCCCTCATGCGGGCATAAAAATATACACGAATATAAAAACACATTCTACACTTACACCTGTAAACATACCTACACATATACATACATATTCGCACACAAAAAAAAATGAATATAACATTCAGTTATATCATTTTGATATATGCTTTTTTAGATATAATTTAAATGTATTTACATTATTAGCAAGCAGGATATGTTTTGAGAAATTATTCCGTTCTTTCATACCTCTAAACACAACATTTTTTTGTTTTATTGCATTTGTTCTCACTATGGGTAAAGTGAAATTAGCTTTAGTTGCATGTCTAGTACTGTACTGGTGATTTTCTACACTGAAGGAAAGATGCCTGAACAAAACAGAGGGAAATTTTGAATTAGAAATATTTCTTATGAATATTAAAAGTAAATACAACAATCTATCTTCGACCAACAACCAATTAAGATCTTTGTGCATTAATGTTATATTTCTCCTGTAGCTGCACCTGAGTGCTACACGAGCAGCTGTATTCTGTATAGGTTGTAACTTATTCATATATTCCCCAGGGGCATTTGACCACTGATTACTGTATGAAAACTTTAAGATATGGATTAAAACAGGTGGACAGATCAACTAAACCAACACCCCATTTGCTCTTACCTGGTGTCTCATTAATAAAACCTTTCACAGGATTTATTCTAAAATTGTTCTCAAATTTAAGTTTACATACGAGGCTCCTCTTCATATTTGACCCTCTACCCCAGTGTTTATCAAAGCTGGTCCTCAAGACTCTCTGTTCTGCATGTTTTAGGTATTTCCCTACATCCACACACCTGATTTAAATTAGCGGCTCCTATAGCGGTTGCTGAAGAGGGACTGCAGCCATTTGATGCAGGTGTGCTGGAGCACAGAGACATCTACTAACATATTTAAGGCAGTGGATTTGGAGGACCAGGTTTGAAAACCACTGCACTACACCCCCACTTTCAACCATAAATGGTACATGCAAAGCGCTACATTAATGTCATCATGCATTAAAATGAGCCAAGCTAATTATGTCGGTTCATTTAAATGTTGTATAATTGTTTGATATAAACTGCTGGGAAGAGAGAGCAATAAAATGGATTTTAACTGAAGCAGAGATAGGTGTGTTGGTAAGCGGAGTTTGCAAGCTACAGAAGTAGTGTGAGAAATAAGGTTATAAAGAGTAACAGAGTCTGACGAATGGATTGATCACATGAATAATCCTATATAATTAACCTGTTCATAAAAGGGGCTGCAGAAATTAATTAATAAATTGCTGATAATATCAAACACCTGCCGGGGAATTCGAGATGATCAGAGCTGTTTCTCAGGAACCCCAGAGTGGTTAACAGCTGTAATAAATGAAACAAAAAGGAAAACCAGAAAAAGCAGCACACCATTGTTACACTCTTGTCAGGAGGCCAAGCAGTCTTGGAGGAGGGGACCCAAACTGGTTGAAAGAAGTACATACTCAGAAGAGTTTTCAGCTAACAAAACTTTTTTTTTTTTTCTGGTGCAGGACATCAACCAAACCACACCAACCAAGAACAATGGCAGACATGTTTCTTATGTAGAGGAGGAACTAAATGGGAAGAAACCATTTTTAAAAGGATGTTAAGCTTCACAATATCAAGAAGAAAAGGACAATTTATTTTAAATGAATAGCTAATTAAGAAATACTTTTACCAATAAATACAGAAAACAAATATTTCAATTCAACCCAAACAAATACTCAAACTCAATATAATAAACACCATAATTAACCTATTCATAAAAGGGGCTGCAGAATTAATTAATAAATTGTTGATAATATCAAACACCTGCCGGGGAATTTGAGCTGATAAGAGCTGTTAATCAGGAACCCCAGAGCGGTTAACAGCTGTAATAAATGGAAGAATAAAAGAAAACCAGAAAAAGCAGCACACCATAATAAGCTTTTAAATTATATATACCCATAATTCATCAATAGATGTACAGTGGATTAGATTTTATTTATATTTATTTTATCCTCTAGAACATCATGTTAATGCAGCTCTAAGAATCTAACAGTTTTGATCAACTTTACCTCTGCCTGGTGGAAAAAATCTGTATTGATTTTTCCCTGAGGAAGACAGCATTTCCCATGACAAAATGCATGGTAAAATCCTTAACTCCTTGTCATGTTTTGGTGACGCAGTGGTTAGCATGCATGCCCCATATATGGAGGCCTTAGTCCTTGACGCGGGCGACCTGGGTTCGAATCTCACCTGTGGTCCTTTGCCTCATGTCCCTCCCCTTCTGTCATACATCCTTTCCTGTCAGCCTACCTTAAAAAAACAACAAAAAAAACGAGCCACTATTGCCTTAAAAACTCAAAAGAAAAAAAAAATGCTAAACTCCTGCTCACCTGCCCTTTGTTTCCACTGGCTGTGTGAAAGATGAATAGCAATGAGGAAATAAATCTAATTCTGGCGAAACAACGTTTAATGACCATGTTGAAAATAAGAAACATGTTTGGTTTTGTACCCCGCCACCTGAATCACCAGCAACTGATGTGCTGACAAGTTTAGATATAATGTTAAGTTTGATCATTTCAGAGTAATAACGCATATAGATCCCAGCAGTAAGGTGCCGCATTGACTAAATATCAGCCCTGCACAATTTGCACTAATATAGAGTCTCTCAGGAAAATTGTGTCAAATTGACTAAGATATTTATGCATGTTAGAAATGAAACAATTACGATTTAGCATTCAATTTTTTTTTACAAAAACTCATGACTCAAAACACCATCAACTTCTGTGCTCCCCTTTCCATATATGAAAAGTGAGTAAAAAAAAGGCTGTCTTTATATAATACCAATATTAACTTGAATAGCCACAGATCTCACTAAAGATTATTCGTATATATGTCTGTTATAAAACACATGAAGACCCTAAATTATATCAAATTTTAATATTTTTGATTAAGAACTACATAGATTAGTTTAATTGCATTTCATACAATCACTACCTGATTCAAAATAACCTGAGAATGAATGAGAAGAAAAACAACAGATAAAAAAATCACCCATTACACAGGAAATAAAAACAACAACAAAATAACAGTGCAGCAGAGTAACACTGTTTTTTAGAGCAGCTGCCAGTTGGAGCCTGGTGCCTCAGAAAGAAATGGATTAATCCAGACCAAACATAACGATTAAACCTTAATAGAGACTCAGACCACGAAAAATGTGAGTTACAGCTAATTATCTGTTAACACAGCTTGATTAAAGGTGGATGTTTACTTCAATAAGAAAAACCACGGTCAGCATGAGGAACAGAGATTAGATGACCTTTAACCTGAGCTAAGAGAGCTGGTTGGAATGGTAGACTGTATAAATCCTCTCTGAGAGTTTCTGGCTGGATTTGCATCAAGGTACAAAAAATATCCTTTAGCTCAATCAAAATCAAACCATTTGATCTTAATGTATATAAACACATTGTTGTCCTTTAAATCACATCAGAGCAGTCGGTAGCTACAGTTCTACAGGCAGAAAACTCAAGTGTTGCTAAATAAAGATGCGGAAATTTTACACAGCTGCTGATGCCATATTTTTGTACTGATTCTCAACCATCAGCCCAGGGTTGTTTAAGGTGCAGTATTAAAAATGGATAAGTAGCTTAATAGCAATTAATTGATCTGTTCCTTCATTTGTTTACACTTTTATTTTTCTGAACAATATATGTAATATGTAAAAGTAAAAAATAAACAAATTTTAACAAGATACAGTTTTTGTGAAAAACACATATACCATTTTATGTTAAAGTTCTTAATAAATGAAATATAAATAGTGATAAAAAAAAAAATAGAGGATCCTAGAAATTTCCGGGATGAGGGCCTATATTAAATT